TTTCTCCTGTACCAATTTATGTTCCCAAATTCTTGGTATACCTATAATCCCTTTCTTTTAGCGATACCTTCCTATTGTTGTATTACTCGTTACGATTAAATCATCTCAGAAGATTTTCAACTATCTTGTTTTCACAACAGGGACAAAAACAGTATTGAACTAAAACCACTGGGCCTAGGTTATTTACTATTTACTATGTGCTTTAATAGTATAAATTCTAAGCTGAAAACTTTTTAATGTGAGGTTTTAAAATTACACCACAGACTACAATTTTTGCATATTTGCTATAGTAATAAAACTTAAATGTATATTCCTAATAGTATTTAGTATTAAATTAATTTTTGTACTTTAATACTGCCTGTAGTTTATTTTAAAGACGCACTATTTAATAATAAGCTTTCGTACTTTTTGTTTTTGATTGTTACTTTAAGTTAGTTTTAGGCAAATTTGGGTACATCTTTTAAACGCGACAATATAAATATCCGTGAGGATAGAGCATTTTTATTATAACATTTTTTAAGGAAATAGGTAATAGGTAGGAATAGGTAATCAATAAGTCTAATGATTTAACTGCAAGTCTTGCATAAATTTGAGCAAGCCTGAGCTTTGCTTGGTTTGGTATTTCACCAAAATTAAAAAAAAAAGGCGTAATAGTAACCCGGCCGCTTAGGCGTTCAGAAAGATTAGAAACCTGTTAACTTTGTTTACGTCTAGATAACAATGAAAATAAAATGCGCCTTCCAATTCGCGGTTGAAACTAGATACTTACACGGAACGTGAGCGAAGCTCGGAGGGAAGTGAGTTCACAATCAGAGAGCAAATATTAGGGAACCCACAACGAACTGTCAACACTCGTGTGTTACATTACATCTACTGCATGCGCAACAAGTTCTAGCTACCGCAACTTTGTAAATGCCCTATTATATAGGCCCGTCCGAACAGAGTACCGACTACAGTAAGGGGAAGGCTTATCGTGCCGGACTTGCATAACTTGGAAGACATTAAAACAACCACAGCAACTTGGGCGGTACCTTGATTATAATAACGTAGATTTCATTAACTAAAATTTCATGATAGTATCAATGACAAGAAAGGAATAAAACTTCGGCAAGCCGAATATACCCTTGGAGCTATTGCAAAAATTAATTATTCTTGAAAACATTTAAATGTCAATTTTTATGCGAAAATGTTTAAATACATTAATGCTATGATAAATATCAGCTCGATTATCCGAGCGTTCCTTTGGCAGCAATATAATATCGTATTCCAACTTGAATAAAATTAAAAGCGTAAGACCGAACTATCAAACTATTACTATTTCCAAACAAATTTTAAACCAAAAATTATAAATTGAGAACGTACATTTTTTTCTTTCATAAATTTTATTTTAATATTCCGATTGTTCCCATGGAATCTATAGTATATAGTCCTCCCATATATGGGAGCTATATGCTATAGTCGTTCCAACTTATATACTACCTGCAACAGAAAGACAACAAAGTTTTATGCAGATAGCCTAAGAAACTGAGAGACTTTTTTGCGTAAAAACGGACGGACGGACAGACGGACATTGCTAGATCGACTTTCGTAGTGATGCTGTCTTTTTCACTGCGTTGCAATCTTCTGACTGAAATAATATAATACACTCTGCAACCGAAAAGCCCACCAAATGTACACTGCAATGCTTAATTGGCATATAATTTTATAGTAGAAGTATAGTAACAACTTATCTAATGTTATGTAATTCCTGTTGTAGCTAATGCAATATATTTGTTTACCAACGTGCAAAAGCAAAGGCGTACTGACATAATAATGAGTGAGAGAGCAAATACTTGGAAAACGATAGAAAAAAGAAATACGATATTTTCATGTTTATCATTCTGTTGTATGCTTTTACATTTTTAGAGTATTTTTTTGAATCTACCTTAAAATGTTAAGCTGAAATTTTGTTTACTTGCAGAGGGTATTATAATTTCAGTCAGAAATATGTATTTTCTTGATCAGCATCACTAGGAGAGTCGATCTAGCCATGTCCGTCTGTCCGTCCGTTTCTCCGCAAACTAGTCTCTCAGTTTTAAAGCTATGTATCTGCATGAAAAGTTGTTTTTCTTTTGCAAGTAGCATATAGCTCACATAGGAACAATCGGATAAAAAAATAAAAAAAAAATTATAACTTTGCTGTTGTCAACATTTTTTTTTTTAGTCTTTAAAATATAGTAATGGTTTAATATTTTAGAATTATTGTTTAAATTTCATTAAAATCTGACAACTATATCATATAGCTCCCATGGGATGAATAAAATTACTATAAACAAATTATTATAAACAATAAATACGAAAAATGTTGGCCATTATCTCCGTTTTAAAATAAACTCGCGCTACGGGAAATCTGCATTTCAAATCCCAAATCTCTAGATTTTGTAGTTTCCGAGACGTTCGTACGGACGGACAGACAGACAGGGCATGGCTAGATCGACGCAGTAATTGATCCTGCTCAAGGATATATTTACTTTACATACTTTTCAACGTTTAAAATATACCCTTTGACTCTACGAGAAACGGATATAATAAAGAATTACTGTCTTTAAAAATGTTTGCATGTAACTAACTCTGTATTTGGCGTCCACACTTTATTATTGTAGGCAATTTTTTTAAGTCTTTTGAGATTTCCTTCCATCTTTTGATCTTGGGCAAGTATAACCTCAATAGTTAATAATTACAATATTGTTTATGTAAAGTTCATATTTGCTCATATGAGAGCTATACGATTGAGTAATCTTACAATATTTGGTTAGATTTTGGTTTTTTTTTTATTTCAAATAGGATAAAAAGTAATTGACATAAATTAAATAATTTGTTTGTGGACAAATTGCATTTGGAGAAACAAATGCAAAGAAAATAATAAGACAGTTACGACCCGTATAAAGGGTATATTTTATGAAAATTTTCGTTATATCAAAACTTTACAAAATAATAATACATAATTTTTTTGCGAATACTTACTGCTTAATTAAATGAAATATGTAAAACATGTAAAAGGAATCGTATAAAAAGGGGCTATGTTAATTGCATGTATTCAAGAACTCATGAAATTCATGCATAAACATAGTATGAGATGATAGTATGAGACCGAATGGAAAGTGGCAGGCGGACACCCAGACAAACGCATGCACATGTCGTGTTCTCCGATGTGCAACAAGGGCGAAAAACGTTGCACGTCCTCTCAATGTCGTTGAAAAGCGTTGCACGGCCGCCACGCGAACATTTCGTCGGATTCTGCCGCCGCTCGCGTCGCTGTCGCCATTGCCCTTTTCGCAAGTTGCCAGACCTTCTGGGTTTGGGGTCTCGCTTTTTGTTTGCGGCTCTCGGCCGCCACTGTTGGTGTTGGTCGTTGTCGAAAGGGATGAAGCTTGAATTTACTGCACCATCTGACCCGCGCGATTCACTCCCCCTTGTCGGCAGCGGCGCAGCAGCAGCGCCGCAGCAGCGAACGGGCAGCGCAGGAAATGCGTTTAGCGCCGCTTTCTTCGACGCCCGAATTGTTGGGCTCTTTCTCTGCGCCCACTTAAATTTCTCAATTTCTTGGTTCTCCGAATTCTGTGCCCTCGACGTTTATTTATTCGCCATTACATTAATAATTTTATTTTTATTTTCGTCACTGTTATCGTCGTCACAAAGGAAATCTTGGGTCAACGCACTCCTTTAAATACCAAACGTAAAACAGAAAACGAATGCGTTTTAAAGGTTTAAATATGTACAAAGAAGATTAATAAAATCGTAAAGAACATATAGAATATTTACAATACAATAGATACAATCAAAGTCTTAGAAATTTTATCTAAAGGACCATTTTAAGGCCTAATAACCACGAATTCTTATTTCAGAGCTGAAAATTAGCTTAAGCCATACTTTCAACGTTTGATTCAATGTTAAACAAGAACTTTGCTTGTGGGGCCTCTAGTTAATTAAAAAATTGCATTGAACAAATATCATTTTCTTCTGTATTAGTATTATTTATATAAAGTCTGGTGTATGTATTGGCTTTGGGTAGGCCTATTAGATATTAAAACTATCCCGAAGACAAGAAGTAATTTAGCCTTCTATAAGATTTTTTAATTTCTGTGATAATATTTTTGTGAACCTGTTTTATTTTTTTGATTTAACATACCCTACTATATACACTTTTTTTATTGTCAATCAATACTGATTTTTTTAAAGTTTTTTTTTTGCATATGCACAAGCTAACATTGTTTGGATACAAATTGTTTTTCATTAAATTGGAATCCAAATTAACTTAATTTTAATTTTGATTTTATTAAAATAATTTGCGTTTTGCCAAATTTTTCTTGGAATCGAATGGTTAGAATCAGACTTTTCATTATACATAATCCAGTCGATACATTCAGTTGAGTAAGTTTTCGAGTTGGGTCAGATTGTAACATGGAGGTTAAGTGTTATTCGGGGATGGTTCGGGCCATCTAATCAAATCGGAGAACATTGGACTGGTGACTGGCAACTCCTGACTGTCTTTGCCAACAAATCTATTGTTCGGCCTATTTCGAGGAATACGTCATCCGGAGAGCTGCAGCAAGCGATAAGAACGGAAAGCCGAAAACCCACCGACAATTCAAAACCAAACGCCAGCGAACCGTCGTCATTTTTCACGTTAGCGAAGATATCATAATAAAATTTTTATTGAGTAAGTTTGGCGGTGCCGCCTCTGTCGCGGTCGACGTCGCTGTCGTGACAACAGCAACAACCATTGCGAATAAACGCAAATACTGTGAAGGCGGACCACCTTTATTGGCACGTATGTGTGTGTGTGTATGTGTATTCATGAGTGGCAGCTGCGGCAAATGCCGGTTCACGCACACACACACAGCCACTTTCATTCTGGGCTGGCGGCGCAGTCGACGTCGCTGCCTCTGCCGCTTCGCTGCCGCTTCTCTGCCGCTCCGAGCTTTGTTCTCGGCGAAATTTTCGGTTCTCGTATTTTTTGACGAGCAGCCAACGCGGACGGACGTTCTCCGGGAACTTGGACCTCGAGTAGTTTTAGAAATCTAAAGCTCAGCAGCTGCAAATCAAATCGAAAAGAGCACCCAGCATAATCACAATACCAATTGATCTCGTTTGCCTTAAAAAAAAAAACAGTGGTGGAAGCGTTACATGCATATTTTTTTGCAACGAAGTGCAATTTCTGAATCAATTTACGTTGTGTGCACATAATATTTAAAGTCTGACAATCAGTATAAGTCACAATTAGCTCTGATATCTAAAACCCAAATCGAACGAAATCAAAAATAGTTGGGGTACACAAACAAAAACAAAAGTAGGAAGTGCAAAGAATAAATGGTTTAAGTGAAGCTAAACCTTAATACGTTATATGTATGTATGTATGTACACCTCCGCATACATAACAGCCTAGGTCAATATTGTTTATAGTGGCGTGTGAATGTGCGCAGAGATAACAACAACGATTGCTAGTTGCCTTGCCCAGCAGATAATAAATAGCAATCGCACGCACACTCGCAAAGTGGACCACACACTCGTCGCCAGAACATATTCACGGAAATCGAAAACAACAACACACAACTGCAGAGACGAGCGCAAGAGAGGAGCGCGATTCTAAACTTGAAAATAATAATTTTATAATATCAAAGCGAGAAGGTTGTGAGCGAGTGGCACGGGCACGAAAAAGGCCGAAAAGAACCGAGCGAGCGCCGCCGAATGTTCACATCAAGTATACGTACGAGTACGATCGCTTGCTCAGCGCTTTTCAGCAGCGCCAGTACTAACAATAACAATAACAATAACGCCATAGCAATAACAAAACGGAAAACAGAAAACAGAAACAGAAACGTTCCTCTTCTAACGGTCTCAGTGTATTTTGTAATTGGTCATCACCCAGTGAGAGAGTGGGAATTGTCCCAGCGATTGCGATTACGGGTCTGTTCGTCGAACGCGGCGCAGTGAAAAAGTTTCGGCGGAAAACACTTGCCTCTGGTCGATTCGCGTGCTTGGACGGACGACTTCCATAGAATTTTCGAAAATCAGCGAAACAGTCAACAAGTGTTCAACAATCGCCACAGTTATCAAACACACTTTGGATTACTTTTCGCAGTCAAAGAGGACTCAAAAACTGAATTTTTCGGATTTTTCTGATCAATTTTATGGTAAGTTTGGGCATTTATTCACCCACAGTTGCTTTACATTTCATTTCATTTGTATTTAGGCTTTTTGTTTTAATATTACTTGTATTTATCTTCCTCAAAAATTTGATTTCAACAAAATCTACCGTAGAAGTTGGAAACATTTTGCATACGCAACATTTAAATGCTTCTCCTATAAATGTGTCGCAATTTACGTCAAGCCAAGTATTGCACGTCAATGATAAGCTCCTAAAAAGTATCACAACAGATCTATTAATACGTAACAGAAAAAATCACTCAAGTAGCCAATGATGCATTTATTGTATTTCAACGGTTACCGCAATGCAGTATCTCTTACGAAATAGAAAAGGAGTCCCCAAATCACGCCCCCAAACCTTATTCATGATGACTCAATAAGCTTAAGAATCGGCCTTTGAGTCATCATTGTCATGATGAGGCTAATATATAAATGGTTCTAGGTATTCGCAGTTTTGGATAATGGTTCGATTGAAGTTCCAGAGGGGTTTCCTAAGCATTGGTGACTAATTCTTGCAGGTGAGTCACCTTCGTGGTCTTAACACCTGACAGGATCGTGCACTTTAACTCTGATAGCAAATCCTTATCAACAGGTGATCTGTTTCACTGAAGCCCCATAGAAAAGAAAAGCTTTATGCCTTAACTATTCATACATTTTGTTGGCATTCGAAAGTCTCCTTCGGACTCAAAAACTCAGAACATTCCAAATGTTATTAAACGCTATAAAAGTATTTAACATATAATCGTGACAATGCAAGTTATATCAATATACATTTAATAATAATATACATTTCGAACTCAACAATTGTAAATTATACTGTGCACAATGTCTTTCATATTAATTTAAGAGGTTAGAGGTAATTTTTAGTAGTCTCAAAACTATAGATTTAACAAAATAAAAAAGCTATGACAGAACTCAAAAGACTTCACTTCTGGTTGAAAATCCGTGCCAGATAAAATGCTTTGGTCACATGTTATCAATCGGTGAAATTCAAGCCTTCAACTTTGCGCTTTGTACGAGTATTTATCAAGACATTCGCCAATTTTGTGTCCGAAGGTCAGTGCCGACGTCAGGGGAAAGTACATATAAACAGAACACAACAAATTCGGAAAATAACACTAACTGGCAAGTTGCGCAGAATTCTTTTCAGTTTTAATCTCTCGAAACTGATATTAAGGTATTTATGTTCACAGGAAATTGTCGTCGCGGGGCACAAAAACAAAAATACCGATTATAAAGTTAAAAAATACAGTACGTTAACTTTGATATCGCTATCGCGAATATTGGCAGGCAAGCTGATTTGATTCGTTTTTCGTTTCGGGTCGCGCTGGCTTGGGTTGTCGTAGCTGCGTTCATTCACGTTCCACCTGCTGGCACTTATTGAAGTGGCCACCGATCTCTTATCACTCTTGTGATCTTCAAATGTACGTTTTCATGCGGGTGTATCTCGATCCGCTTTGTGAATGGTGGCGTGCTTTGATAATATTTTGTATGCCAGCTTGCTGGGCGGGGGTGTAAGGGATGCCAAGATATATTCCCGATTATAGAATCGAGTTTATATTTCACCCATGGCAGTGAATAGCTGCGAGGCGGAAACAAAATATAAATAATGCAAATTTAGCGACCGTATCCCAATTTAATTTATTTCTTTCACTTAAGGCTATCGTAAGAATTTCAGAATGCTTTAAGGGCATATAAACGTCGGCTTCCCAAAGCTATCAAAGCGTATTGTTCATCTTTGAACCAGTTTTTAAACTGCAGTTGGCATTTTTAAATCTCATTACACAGTTTTCCGCCATAAGCCCAATAGCTGATATTTATAACTGGCATTTATTATTAGAACCCGACACAGCAACAATTTCGAGTGTTTTCGCTATAAAATATAATCGAAAGCGAAAAATAAAAAGGAATCAGAAACCTTATCAGACTATGCGACGCTCACCGATTTGACCGATCAGTTCATTATTTTGGCAATATTCTTGCCGTGTTCTTCTACTTATCGGGGTAAAGACCAAGTCACATGACAAACTCGAACCCTCGATTTTAGGCCGATTAAGCGACTGACCCTTTGCCTACCCCATTGAGTTTCTTGTTGGAACACCTCAGCAGCAACTGAGAAAACTTTTGTGGCTCTGAATATTTGGGAGATACATACATACATACATACATACTGGCAAGAAAGCTGTCGAAATATTCTAACGCAAATTAGGAATAAAGCGAAAAAGCCGGTTCGCAGACATGCGTAAAAAACTTGAACCTGTGTGTGTGTGTACGTGAGTATCTGTGTGTGGGGCCAAAATTGTCTGTATCTCTGTAGATTCCAAACCGCTGCCCCCTATTAAATCCGCCATATTTTTGTGAATTTGTGATTGCTGCCTGTTTGTTTATCAAGCTGTTTTCGTATACGCTATGCGTGCCCATGTATTGGATGTCTGTGCGTTGCCCTCTCTTTCTTGCTTCTCCAATTGTTGCTTTTTCTGATACTTTTATAAATAAAAAATGTTGACCTTGGTTAACAATGTTTTTAGCAGTTTCTATTATCTTTCTTTGTTTCTTGTTTCTAATTGTCGGCTCTGCCAATCTTAAATTTTGTGCTTTTTTGATTCGTTCTTAATATTTTTTATGTTAAGTATTTTGAATTTATTTTTATTTGTTTTTTTATTTATTTTTATCTTTTGGCAAATGAGCTCATATATTGTTAATTTTAATTTACTTTAAATTTGTCTATAATTGTTTAAAAGCATTGAATTAATGATAGTTTTCAGCTGAACTATTCAATATTTTCCGTTTTCCAATTTAAAAAAAATTAAAACCGTTAGTCAGAACTATTAAACCTATTTTTCACTGCGTTGCAAACTTCTGACTGAAATTATTATACCCTCTGCAAGGGTATACAAATATTTATAAGATCATTTGCTTATCAATACTACTACGACAGCCACATTTATGTAGGTAATATTTCCATGATCACCTGCCGAAGAACTTTAAAAAATTCCTGGAAAAAGATTCGTGTTTTTCTTTTCCGTTGCTTTAGTGCTTAATTGTATTTTTATTGTCAACTCATCCTGACGACTGAGATTTGCAAATATCAGTAATCAAATGTGTTTAAAGTTCAGCAAAGACTCAATGGTATTTTTGAAAAGGCTTGATTATTGTGCGCGCTATACACTTTTGGATTCTCGATATAAAAACGATATGTACCCATATATGTATATATACATACAAAATATACATGTACATACAATGCGCCCTCAGCCAGCATTGCAGCTGCAGCTGTGTGCATTTGAAAGCGAATTGCACGAGTGTGTGTCTTTTCGCTTGCGAAAATAAAACATTCAAAATGTTTGCCAAGTTCAAGGACAAGGCTGCAGCGACGTCACTTTTGACGCTGCTTGTTGGCTGTACACGCAAAAGTCGAGCGCTGCAAGCTTGGTTTCCGTTCGTTTGTCGCTAGTTTCGGCATGCCAAGTTTTCACTGTACCGAGCCTCGTTTGAAGGCCAGCTTTTCGGTCGCTGCTCTGCTCCAAATTCAAGTTCAAGGCATCAGTGCTGTGTTGCCTTCTCTGTCTGGCATCAATTAGCCTTCCCAAAAATGGGAATACATACATACATAAGCTCCCATTCCTTCCAGACTGCATTAATTTGGAATTTAGTGATAGAAGCTGGGGTAGCTACATAAATGAATCTCCGGAAAGCAGTTTGTGATTGAGTGTGATTTCTAATATTCCAGTACTTTTCTCCACAGTCGTGGTCCCTGGCAATCAACCTGTTAAACTTGTTTTGCCAAAAAAATACTTACCAAACCGTCTTTGCTCGACTCTCTTTATAATCTTCCGTCGAGTTGATAAACTCGAGCACCAAGCGATATTTTACTGTCGTTTAAGCCAATTTGAGAGACGGAAGATGCGTTTTTTTTTTAAACTGCATAACCCGAATCGGAAATACATCCAGTTTAAAAACACGCCCCCCGGAATAAGCCCTTCGATAATGCCAGTCACAGTGGCATTCGTAATGCCGGAAGCTTTCGTCCAACCCGTTTTTGCCTTCCACGATCCTGATCTAAAAATATCGGGAGCACCCAAAAGCTTTGCCACTCCCCCCAAAAAGTTCAGCAGCGTCTGAGAAGCTGGTTATAATTATTTTTAAAGTATTGTTAAAACGTTTTTGTCTTAATTCAACTAACAAAAGGAGCCCGCACCGCAAAGTTAATTTAACATTACGGCTCTGTCCTTTCTTCGTCACCCCTTTGCGCAGTTGACAGCGACGGCGCAGCGCTGCAGCAGCGCTGCTGCAGCGGACAAAGAAAGAAATTCGGCACGTAAAAACACTTGTGTCTCTTTGTGGCTGCTGCCGATTGTGTCCTCTTCTTTGGTTGTGTACTCGAATTGTTTATTGTATTTATTTTGAGGTTTTCAGAAAATGTTATATATTGAGTGTGGCTGCTGGTGCTGTTGCTGTTGGCTCTGCTGCGATCGTGTCTGAATCCCCACCCCCAAAAAGCAGTGTGACTTGGGGCTTCATGCACACAAGCACTCACACTTGCCCAATTTTTTGGATTTCTTTTCTCTACACTTTTCGAAAAAAATATCGCTGTGAGCTTTTTTCAAAGTTCGTTAACCCTTTGCTGGATTGAGGTTGCGCTGTCCGCCATCGACGTTGCTTGCCGCTGATGGAAGCGTTTTATCGAGCAGCAATGTAATTAAAGCGGAACCATATTAGGCAATTCTGTAAATGTAATTATACCCGTAATTATACTCGTAGAACTCGTCTGCGGTTCTTTCTATTTGAAAGCCTGGAATTCGGAAACCGAAAGCTATAAAAGTTTCCAAAGTTTAGGATTGCATTGTGATTTTAGACAACATATTTTAAAGCAGAGTATTAAATAGCAGCTAGTTTTAGTCGTTTTGTTTTGTTTTCTATGCGGATTTTTAAAAAGAACGAAATCCCTCCCAGAGTTTTAAATAAGTATGCAATCCGAAATTGGCTA